GCCCCGTGGAGAGAGGAGCCCACGCCAGACCAGGTTTGCTGGCAGGACTTGTGACCCCATGGGGGACCCACACTGGAGCAGTCTGGTCCTGAAGGTCTGCACCCCACGGAAGGGACTCATGCTGGAGCAGTTCGTGAAGACCTGCAACCTGTGGGAAGGACTCACATTGGAGAAGTTGGTGGAGGGCTCCCTTCTGTGGGAGGGACCCCACATTGGAGCAGGGGAAGAGTGTCGAGGAGTCCTCCCCCCAAGGAGGAAGGAGCAGCAGAGACAATGTGCGATGAACTGACCACAACCCCTATTCCCCGTCCCCCTGTGCCACTGAGGGGAAGGAGGTAGAGAAATCAGGAGCGAAGTTAAGCCTGGGAAGAAGGGAGAGGTGGGGCAAGGGGTTTTAAGGTTTGGTTTTATTTCTCATTACTCTGTTTTGCTCAGATTAACTTTTTTCTATGTTGAGTCTGTTTTGTCTGTGATGTTAATTGGTGAACAATCTCTCCCTGCCCTTATCTTGAGCCACGAGCCTTTAATTTTATTTTCTCTCCCCTGCCCAGCTGAGGAAGAGAGTGACAGAGTGGCTTTAGTGGGCACCCAGTGTCCAGCCAGAGTCAACCCACCATGCACAGTGATAGTGGAGAAAATCTAAGAAGATTCTATTAGCAAAGACATATCCAAGAAAGAGAAAATTGTAACACTACTTTTTAAGTTTTTATAGCACTGTTTCAGATTTTTGTTCCACCCAATTATTTTCTCAGATTTAAACTAAAAATCTGCAATGCATACAAGTGTGTGATCAAAAGAAAGTCAGAAAATAATATCTAAGACGGTACAGACAACTATAATCCATTACTGAAGCAGCAAAATCGGACAGAATTACTACAGTTTCACCCTAAAGTATAAAAATAGAACACAAGTAGCCACTGGGCAGAGTATCAAATTTGCACAATGTCAAGCTGGGGAGCTTCAATCTCTTAATGCCAACAATTTTAAAATCAGCTCCTTCAACTTTACACGTCATGGCTACAGTTCTCCTGGTCGTGTTCTTGTGCTATTCAGGACTGTGATTCTCCCAGGTGATGTTACTATGGACCCCTTCCACAACCTCCAAGCATGGGAACAAACTGATATTTTACAGCATTATGCTATAAATACAGATTTGTGCTTATAGAAGCCATAGAGCATGTAGAACCCCTCAAGTCCTGAGATCTGCCACATGAAGTAAGCCTTGTCACTCAAGGTTCACTAGTACTTCTATTTATTGCATTTAAAGTAAGTATAAAAACCTCCATTCCCTTGAAAAGGTGCTTTCACTGCACAATTCTCCCCTTTTAATTCTACTCTGCTGCTTCGCGGGGTTATGCTGAACAGCTCCATGCTCTAGCTACCCACTGGCTCTCAGAGGTGTCCTTTACATTCTGTCCCTAGTTAAAAAACAAAGCAGATACTCATCTTCATGAGGCTGCAGACTGCAAAAGAGTAGCCCCAGTGATAATTGAGGAGCTTCAGTTATACACAACAGAATACAATTGCTTATTATTCCAGACTTTAAGCAGATTCAAAAATAATTAGAGGCTTCCAGGCAGGAGCTCTTCTTCACCTGCTCTGAGTGGTGGGCAGTTTTATGCCAGTTCTAGCCAAAACACTGCAAAGTTTGAATGTAGTCTATTGTTACTTCAAGAAGGAGCTGTTTCCCCTCACCCTCTAATTGCATCTTCGTTCCCAGATGCCATCATGACATTCAGATGAAATTAATGGCATTTTTGGAAAAAAATTATTAGTTTACTTTCAGGAAAGAAAGGACAATCTGATGGTGAAAATGCTGCAGACCCTCATCTTAATGCAAATGAATGGTCAGGAAGAGCCATTCAGGAGATGACCTTGTTGCTATGATCTAGTTCAGAAAAAGCAAAAGTAAAAAGCCAAGGAAATTTTGTCATATGCCAAAGTCTTTTCCACAGTATATTTTCCACAGTTTTCTGTGGAAATTTTCCACAGTTTTCTGAAGAACCATGAAAAATTAATTTGTCCACATCACATAGAATAATTATAAAATGTTTTACTGACTTGAAAAATTCTATCTTATATCTCAAGACATTTAGAGATTAACAAATTTTTATTCTTTCAAATGATCACATGGAATGAGCCATACAAAGTTTTGCCTATTTTGTACCTTATCTCTCAATGGACATAACCAGGAAATCAGCTGCCACATCAAAAGCACAGAATGACAGAAGTACCATTTTTCCTCCAAAGAAGGGTAGGACGACATTCTGTTCTGCTTCATTATCTACTTCTTGCCACTGTGAAGTTCTCCTCTCACTCCCCAGGATATAACATCAACTTCAGAGGCTTTATTACCTAGGATTTTTATTCCCTTAACTGACATCTCATTACAAAAGCAGTTGCCCTTTTTACATGCACACATATGTACAGACTTTGGTTGTCATCTCCTCTACTCTCATATACACAGGATCAATTTTCTCTTCTGTCCCTCTAACCACGAACCATATCATCCTTTAAGCTGCAGGCACTAAGTCAGGCACCATTCTAAAAATTAATTGTCTATCAAATACTAAAAAAAAAAATTCTGCAGAGATTAGATTACCTTGCAGAAAAAAATATGCATAGGGAAATATATTAAGACACATTTGCAAGTATGTCTTAATACAGGATGAATAGAAAGAAGTAAGTTTCAAGTAATTCTCAGTTTCTATAGCTCAAGTATATTCTAGATGGGAGTACTAGAAGCCTCGCACTCAGGAACCCAAAGTGCAGCCCTATTCAGGGAAAGTTTCCATTAGATGAAAGGCTTTAATGAATTAATGTGTTGGAAGATCAAGCTGAATACTTACAGCCTTATGATAAGAAAGCACAGCAACAAACAACAAACACATAAAGCATACCAGCATGAAGGAACAGGAGAGGAACTGTTCGAAGATGCTTAGAGAATAATAGCCACAGGCGAACATGAGAGAAGTACTTTTTTTTTTTCTTAAAAAAAATAAATCAAAACATAAATTGGAAGTCATACAGAAGCCTTCCATGGTGAACTGTGGGAATTTCCATCATCAAAACTCAAAAAAGATCCACTATAATTCACAGACTGTCCACAGTAGCCTTAAATGCTGCAGTAAAGCAGAGAGATGAGACTGTAGTACACATGTGCACATAGGATACAAGTTGAAGACAGAAACAGCTTCGTTTAGAGTGAAACCTTTAATTACCTTTGGTTCAGATTAACCCAACAAGTGTTCATCTGGTCAGTGGTTTCCTTCACCCTTCTTGTGTCATCATCACGATACTCTCGAAGAAGTTTATTAGAAAGATCATTGAATGCAGCTACCGTGATGTCACCTCTATGCAAATCCTGTACTAACAGCTAAAAAGAAATTCCAAAATAAGACATGAGAGCAAAACCAAAATCACACTGGTTTTCATATTATGAATTTTTCTTATTATAAACCCCTCCTTTTTATTTTGGTTGTTGTTGTTGTTGTTGTTTGGGGTTTTTTAAAGAAAAATATGCATATTTTTCAGCTAGAAGAAAAATCTTTAAAAAAAATAAATCTACAAATACTAAGTGTCCTGGCAATGAACCAATCAAAAAACAAATAGGTGAAAAAAAAATTATATTTGCCAGAACCGCCAAAGGCTAGAAAAATCCTCTTATGTGTTTTACTGGCAACAGAAGTAAAAACACTGCTATATTTTTAGTAGCATGAGTAAGTTTAAATTACAACAACAGTGATATAAGTGGCAGCTAAAAGTGGCATAAATGAAATGCACAGCATGAGAAATTAATTTCATTGTTTTGTGGGGTTTTTTTATTTTTAAATGAAGAAAATACATTAGATATGTTTGCTTATTGTGGCAGGATATCCAAAGGGTGCCTTGACCTTACAAGCACCCTGAACTCAAGATTCTAACTGGATTCTAACTGAATTAAAAAAAAAAAAATAAAAAATTACACACACACATATATATATATCTCTCCAGTTGTATCCTACAGTCTCTCCACTATATGTTTGGGCACAGGCCTACTTTCATGTAAGAGAGCAAGGCAGACCTAATAGCCCATTTCTAACCCCCTGCTCATGTAGAGAAAGACAATGAAAAGCACACAATATCACTGTTTACTGAAATAGCTATGGATGAGTGAGGAATTGTTACCATCATACTCCCTGCTTCTTTCCATACCCAGCCACACCCCTACATTGTCCCTTCATGAATATATATATGCACACACACTTTCCTTTTTAAATTCTATTATAGCCCTGTTCTAAATACTGGACTGATAAGAGCCCCTCCTCACTGATTTGTCTCTAGTTCTCATCCTGGGCCACCTACAACCTGCCCTTTTTCTGACAGCCACCAGGACAAAGGACATCAGACTTATTGATTTATCACAGCAGGTTTGCTATGATATGAAAAGCAGCAAAGATTGCATAGGACTGCGGGGAAAAAAAAAAAAAGTGTTGAATACCCCTGGCACCCATCAGAACTGAAATTCAGGATAATTTTAAATAACATGGTCCATTCCTGGGATTTAGTAAACTACTGTTAATAGGTTTATATGAAGTAATACATGCTACCTTTTGTGGCTGTATGATTAAACTTTTATTGGTCTGAGGTTCGAGCTTTTTGCATAGTATAATTTATTTGATACTACACTATACTCATTTCAAATACACTTAAAATTAGACACACATGCATACGTGCCCCCTGTTTCCTTCCCAGAAAGCAGTTCTCAGGAAGGTTGACATATAAAAAAAAAAAAAAAAAGAGAGAGAGACAATTTATAATATATCATGCTCAAAGAGAGAGAGAATTGCCAAATCAGTCCTACAACTAAATTGTATATTTGCACATCAATTGAATCCAGTAGCATTACATAGACTAAGGAGTCTCGTGGGGGGGGGAACAAAAAGTGTAAATGGTCTTACTTTGTTGTCTGAAATCTGTTTGGTGAGCATCTCTTTTGGGGCCTGCAGGAGCATACGCAGACGGATCTCACACTGCTCCATGAGGTGCTCCATTTCCTGCCTCTGCTCTTCCCACTGCATGCTGTCTGTCAGCATGTACTTCAGCTGCTGCTGCCGCACCTCCACACCGTGCTCGGTATTGTCCCACTGATTCTTCACCTTCTCCACTGTGGAAGACAATACAGAACATGAAAAACTGAGGTAAACAAACAAGTAGTCATAACTACCACTTAATTCTCAGGACAAGAGGCAATAATACAATTCAAATACAGTAGTTTCCACATTCAGTAGTTTAGCTCCCCCATGTAGTTTACACATTCACACGAGCAAACAAAAAATGCCGGTGTTTGGCTCCCTCTGTCAGCATACAGGTAACAACTATTATTTCTGAAATATTTCCAAGGCATTGTTTTACTTTTTAAGTAAAGTTCATGTGGGCAGAAAATCTGCTGCAGCTGCTCTGCAGACATATGCTAGCAGCAGGGCTCCACGGAGCACAGGTTTAGGGTGCTGGCTATACCAGCAAGTCATCTTTGTGCATCAGCAATTTAAACCCTTACAAATAAACAAATAAATAAATACTGTTTAGATCGGGGTAGTTTATAAGAAGTGAACTAAGCTTTCCAAACCACTGTCTGTTGAAAGGCACTTTCATTCCACCATAGGTTTCTACAGGCTTATGCAGACTACACAGCAGAACAGAGAAGTTATTGATCACACCCCATTTCCTTCAAGTATCCTGTTCCTCTCTCAATAAATGGAGTTACATTAGATGATTGATACACAGGCTTTAACCTTTAATAAACAAAGGGTGAAAAAGACAACATGACAACAGCCTACAACAAATAGTGTGTCAGCAGTAAGTCTGCATGTTGGAGAGAAATGAATAGCATCATACCTTTTTCTTAATGCTTACAGACCATAAAAAAAGTGTATTACCTGAAAGTCTATAGAGGTGGAAACAGGTTTCCCTATTACCTGTCATGACAGTCATTAGGAACATACTATATCACTGGAACTAAAGAGTAAGAAAGCAAACAGACTAAAAAAAACTAAGCTGGATTTCTTGAGCATATCTGTACTCTGAGCAACAACAGGTAGGCAGTATGTAACACATTCAATATATTTATTGTACCAGTAAGTATGCAATTGTATTTGAAAACTAACACACTTGATACTCAGGTCACTTCATTCTTCCATGAAGTAAAAATGCCAAAGATTGTGCTTAAGCTAAAAGCACTTAAGTGAACTTTACCCTTTGCATTCTTTATTTTCTTTTTAAACCTTTCACAATTATACAATGTCATTATGCTTGATCTGCTTGGGAAGATCTTTTAATTGTAATACATTCAACAATATGCTGTTTAGTTCCACAAAGCGCTCAAAACTGTGGCAGCAAAGCCCAATTGTCATAGTAACTCTATTACTGGTGGACAAACCCAATAATCTGCGCAGTATAGATTCATCAATTTCAACCAGGCAACTTTTCAATTAATTTTCAGGCATAATGTAGGTCATGTTGAACGAGAACTTAGAAGAAAGTTTCAGTAACCCAACAGCAAATAATAATAATATGGGTTGGTTTTTTTTGTTTGTTTTGTTTTGGTTTTAAAGATATTACTGTATTGGATAAAGATTATGTTCAAAGGAAATCAGCAGCTGCTGGGAGAGATCAGTGGTTTTACCAAAACAGCAAAAGCAAAAACAGCAGGAGTGGAAAAAAAAAGGCTATAACCTTGTGTGCTGGCTAACGAACAGCAGAGACAAACCTCTTAAGTGTTTAGGCTCTCCCCACAAAGCTGGAAGGAAAAAGAATCCCTGAAAAACAGTTGCCTACAATGGCAACTTGGTTGAAATGGATAGATATTTGATGTTTACATAATAGTATTATAGAAAGAATATTTCTCAATATACTTCTCCCTATTAATGGCCAGGTTAAGCTTATTCTCTGCAGTGCTGACATATTTCCCCTCTCTCCAGTCTCCACCAAAACAGAACAGAAAAATAGTAAAATTCTTGGTAGCCTCAGTGTTCAGTGGGTTCAACAGGTAGGATCCTGGAATAAGTTGTCAGGGGCACCAGTCTGGTATCAAAGGCAGAAAGACTGAACATAATTCCTGATGAGACTGTGTTTTTAATTCTCAATGTCTGTGCAGTAATTGGGAAGGAAGTTGCAGAGAAGGAAGCTTTTCTCTATTTCTGTGCCCCTAGCTATTGAATAATTAGGCTTCATCTAACAACATACAGCAGGCTAACAGGAGTTTGTAGGACATTGGAATATTCCTCTCAGTGTTTAAACAACAAGGTGCCTAAAGCAGCCCTGAGCTTCACTTTCCTTCAAAGAGCAAACTTGTCTTTACAAATGTCAGTAGCAACAAGACCTTCATTTTTTTTCATGTTTCATGACAGATAGCAAAATCTTCACATGCATCTAGAGTATCCACTGGAAGCTTCATCCATGGCAGCATACACAGCATCTCTGTTCCCACCTTGGATGGGCATGACTATAGGGGAACTGCAATTTTCAACATACAATTCCTTTATTCCTCGTTCACCTTTTCTGAAGAATCAAGAATGTTTTGGACTGACCAGATCTCCCCTTGTTGAGTGACTCCCATGGACTACACAGTTAGTATCATCCCCCAAGTTCTGAGTGGCTGCAAAGCTCAGGCTTTACAAGGTGCTTTAGCTTCTTTGGATCTTACTCTCCTACCAATCCATAGCTCCTGTGAATCTTAGACAGCAGGTGCCATCTCATCAGACCTTTCAACGTTGCTGTGCGTTTTCTGTTTGACCCCATTATCTCCAGCAAGTCTTACGGAAAAGAAATTCATGTAGATGTAGTAAAGAAAAACTACATTGCAGAGGAAAACATAAGGAAAAATATCTTTCCATTTTTACTTCTGTGATATTGCCTGCTGCATGAATTTTCTAATCTTAGCAACCATCAAAGCTTAAGATTTCAAAGAACACTTTGTCCCTTAATTTCTAATTGTGTCAGTTGAATGCTTTTTTTCCTTAAGTACAGTAAGAGACATTTTCAAAGGCGGGGGAGGGATGGTACGGGGGGTACCTTTAAACTGGAAACTCAATTTTCAAGTACATGTCAGTGACTTAAAAGCTCTACTAATTCTCAGTCAACAATTTCGAAAGTACATACACAAAGTTTTGTCTTAAGACAACACATTCATGCATTTCACTAACCATCCAGTGCATCAGAGCTCAACAAAAATACAGACAATCAGTTCCTTTTATCAATAAATAAAAAATCCTCATCCCTGGGTCTGTGGCTGTCAAGTAACTCAAATTCTTCATAAGATATTTTGAAATCCCAGCAATAATATTTACCTTCATACTTGGAAAAGTGGCTAGTCAAGAAAACAAGTGGCAACTCTTGTTCCAGGAATTTTCATTAGACTGTTAGAGTGAAAGCCACTGAACTGCTAAGCTTTCGGTTTGTTCAAGGAAGACAACTTCAGCTCAAAATCAAGAGTTTAAGAGAAAGATATGAAGATTTTTTTTACTGCTAGAGGAACATTGTATTTGCAAACACAGAATGGAGAAACTTACATTTTTCTGTGATCGCTGTTCTAACGTCTGAACTGGAAGCTTTATTTTTCAAATTCTGAGCCAATGTAAAAACAGAATCAAGCTGAGGGTGCCGCTGGTCCAAATCTGCCTTTGTTATCTGTTGAGAATTAAGATATGATTTTTAAGGCCAAAAAGCAGAATTTAGTTAACATCATCTTTTTATTTGTATTTGTAGATAAAACCAAACATGTATGTGTCACCACAAGTAGATGGCTATTCCCAACATTATTGTAACCCTTGAATTGTCACAGCATTATATCACTGCTTTAAAAAGCAAAAATATTCTGAATTATAGTTACTGAAAATACAGAGCTGAAAGTTAACCTGGACAAACCACACGGTTACCACAATCATTGCACAGTATTTTCCAGTATCTATTTTTCACTCTCCCATAACTTATTTTTCTCTTACCAAGTTCCAGTCATATAGATTTATGAGGGAGGGCAGGGTAGGGGGAGAGAGAGATGGAGAAGGAAAGGAACAGGGAGGAACAATCAGAACATATATTGTATAAAAACCAGTTATTTCACTATGGCAATGTACCAGAAGCCTATGTTACAAGAACTATAGAGTTAAAATAGTTTCCAAAGTTACTGCACATCACATTATTCTTTCAAATTCCAGATTATGTTAGACACCCACAGAAATGGTTTAGTACTTGTTTAGCCTGCAGCTTTTACTCTACAGTTACTCATATTAATTGATATCAAGTCAAATAAAATGAACCTTAATGGTAGCATACATCTTACAAATACTGCTCTTAGTCATGGCTCAGCATAGCATGAGCTATAAACAGAAACAAACATTTACATCATAAGCATTTATGTTACATTTAATCATTTTAGCATGTCTCTGGAAATCAGTTTAGTCTAACCATAACACAACAAAACTCATCAGAAACCACTAGAGAGTGGATCATAAAGGTCACCCTCCAAACAAACATGAAGGTGCTCCAAAGTCTTCAGCATAAGCTATAAATTCCCCAGATGATGTCATTTTCAGGAGGTATTCTCTACATGCTTTGTTAAAAACAAAAAAATAGCAGTGCCTAGCTCTCATAGGGACACAGGAATTAACATGAAATAGTAAAGGGGAGAGGAGTGTAGTAACGACAGCATTTAAAGTATTCAAGTTATGCATTTACTGTAGTCAGTTTCTTTTTTTCTTTTTTTTTTTTCTTTTTTAAACACATGTAATTTCTTTACTGAATGCACAAGCTATTAAAGTGTGAGCCAAGTTTCCAATCCACTGGCCTTCACAAAAATACATACTTTCATTCGTCCAATAGTCCGATTGATCTCTTCGGTATTTCCCACGGTGACTATGTTTGACTTGAGCATCTGATCAATCAATCCCAACCAGTCAGCCAGCTCAGTTGTAGTTTTATCCAGATCAGCAGGTGTGGAAAGTTCCAAAGACTGCTGAGTCTGAACAGGAATTTCCAATGAAGAAGATACTAGCACCACCTTTTGGACATCTGAAACAGAGTTTGGGGTTTTTGTTAAAGAAAAAAGTCATGGCCTCATCCAGTTGTGGGAATTAAGAGGGTTTTTGTAATTCCTATAAATATGCAACAGCATCTACAGAGAAAGGACAGCAAGATTTCTATTTGAGGTATTTTAATCACCAGAAACTAAGTAATCAGAAATTCCTTTTGCCTTTTTTTTTTTTAAAAAAAAATGCTATTAATTATTTCATTACATGACAAACATTCACCCAAATGATTCAGCCTAAATAGAAAACAAACAAGAAGAAAACTTGCAAGGGCAAAATGACATTAAATATAATGGAGTGAAACTAAACGCTCTTTGACAGCAAAGGGAATTGACCCATACTAAGCATATACACACTTGAATATTACACACTTGCCTCAAGCAATGAAATACAGCAGCTTTATTTAACAAACACCCTGTATGAAAGGAAAACAAGCCGAAACAAGGTTTGAAAGCCTTAAAAGTTGCTTTTCCTCCTTTAAATTTTGTTTACTGCTGCTGAATTAAAAAAAAAAAAGAGTTAATTTACTGAAGTTCAAGCTGCAAATTCTTTCAGGCAAAGTCTGTCCTTTTTACCTAGTTTTCTAAAAAGGAGATGTGGGCATCTTGGTTACACTCTGTGTCTGCTGATCTGTCTCCAATGACTTGAAAAGACTGCCAGTGTCAGTGTCTGATACAAGAAAGTATCACATTTAGACAGCTTTCCCTTTTCCCTACAAGATTCAGGAAGATAAGTATCTAGCAAATGCGAAAGACCTATCTGTGTCTGTACTGAGCTGAAAGATGTAGAATGGCCTTTATTTATGAAAGCGCAGAGAATCTGCATTCAGGAGAGAGGTTACAAATAATTAGCTTTTTTTAGGGAAAGCTTCTAGAGGCTCTTAATTACTAAAAGGCATGACCACAAAGCACAAATCGACAGGAAACCAGGCTGTCAAACATAGCTGGTTTTGGTTTTATTTTGTACCTAGTACATTGGCTTCTGATGAGGAGGCCTAAGCTTTACTGAAATGTTCCTCCAAAGGATTCCCCCAACCCTGAACTGCAGTGTGACTTTTTCCGCATCCAAATGTTCCCTCTCTCCCATAGTAACATGAAGGTAGCCCCAAATACAGTGATGGACATAATTTCTTATTTGCACTTGTCTAAATTCACAGGGAGGGTTTTCCTTTTTGGATTATTTTTGACCACAAATAGGATCAAACTCAATACAATTAAGCACAACAGAAGGACTGATCACTCACCAGAAGGCTTTGTCTGTGTAAGACGATGAGACTGCCCAACAAATGTCTCCAATTCTCTCACTCTGTCAGGCACTTCTCTGAACACCTACAGCCAAGAGAGAGGACAAAAACCAGTAAGACAACCTATATTAACAGCAAAAAAGTAATCACTCATTAGAAGACAAAATATTCTACACTATGCTTGCTACAATGGCATGCCTCAGAGATATTTCAATGAATTTTTTCAAGGTATCATTTAAAAACAATAAAAATGCCAAGAGGTACTCAGAGTGTTATTTCAATACATTTCAGTGTCTTACCTAAGTCTCCAAGATAAATAAATGGACTGTTGTAGACAGGTTGTTTACATGTTTTTTACTGCCTAAGCATCAAAGCTATGGTTCATTATTTGAGTACGCTTTGAAGGAAAGACGACGCAAAGCATGATTTGTGGTCACCAGTGACAGGAAAGTAAAGAAATAGGGAATTAATTTAAAAAGAAAAATGTTACCACTGAACTCTATTGTAGTGAAGACAAATTTGCCTACTTTGCATTTTAAAAGTTTTTAAAAGACAATGATGGAAATGTAATATACAAAAGGGGGGGGAGAAAATCCCCATTTAGTAGGTAAAAATCTTTCCCTAAACTATCAAAAGCCCCAAATCCAGGCTCTGCTTTAAAAAAATCTGGTTTTACTCCAACCAATGAGTTCTGTTCTTCCCATATACTTGCCAATGAGATTGAACAATACAGTTTCTTATTTACAGCAGTTATACTCAAGAAGAATGCCAGACACTTGATAAGATTTTCTCACTCAGTCTTATCACAGATTTGTTTGTTTTCCTCTTAACTGCTGCAAACATTCATCTTTCCTGTACAGCAAAGATTTATTGTGACTCTCTCAATTTCAGAATTAATACATTACCATTTGGCTCAAATAAGTGAAATAATTTTGATCCAGCCATTTAAAAGAAAGACAATACAAAAGAAAATTAACAAAAAACCTAAAGCTAACTAAACTAACTCATTCTGATGGAAAAATGTCTACCGATGTTTTCATGTAGATATGGATTGAGGCACATTTCCTGAAGATGCCTGCATGGCTTCCAAGATATTTTATGTACGTCATAGACACATGGAAAGGGAAACAACCATTCCGAGTACACAACTATATTTTCAACTTCAGGTACCCAATGCTGAAGAAATGCACACCTTATTCCACCTCACATTGAGGGACTGCAGGCAATCGGAAAGTCTATCTTTTTCCTGAAGATCAACATTTTTATCCAAAAGCACTTCAGGTTCAGTCCTGTTCAGCCATTCCAGTTTGTCTCCCTGTACTTCCATCTCTTCACCTAAGACCTAAAAAGGACAGAAGAGTTTTAGACTGAAGCAAAATGCACACGTGCTTAAGGAAATGGAGTGGGTGTGTGTTAGGCAGAGAAGCTTTCCTCTAACTCAAATATTTAGAAATTTCCCTGGAAATAGATACCAGAAAAGCTTCTATTTTGGTTTCTATGCTCTATCTAGAAATTATTAAAACATTTATTCAAATATCAACATTTATTGCTAACCGGAAAAAAACCCACAAAACTGGGAGATCACTGAACAGAGTACCCTGCTAAAATACGCACTATACATATATGTCTTTCCTAGATATTCAAGGGTCTACCCTAAAAGAATTATTTTTTTAAACATGTTATATCCTTTTTAATTGGAGGCTGCTCCAGAAGCTCTATTTAGAAATCTCCTTCTCATTCCCAGACTGTATTTATTGCTGACTGATCAGTTGACATCTGTTATTCCCACTTCCCTAGTACCAGCCTTTAATAATTTTTTTCTACACTTTCTTATTCTCATAATTGTATCACTTCTCATTGTTTCTTTTTTGACTAAACAAAACAAAGCAAGCTCCGAGTTTCTTTGCAGATAAGGAGTTCTTCACCATCCTGATCAGCTTAGCAATCTTACTCAGTACCCATTCTGTTGCAAACACGCCTTTCCTTAATATACATAACAAAAATTGCA